GAAGACCCCAACTCGGAGAAGACCATTCCTTCTTGATTCTTTCCAAATGCATCCAGGTGGCATTTTCATCGCTTGATACTACTGTAGTGGTGATGGTGGCTCTTCCAGAGTCCTCCAACAGAGTTGCGGATGGGCGGGTTTCCGATCACTCGGGCTTGATTGGGTTTTGCCGCCGTGCTATGTTGGATCAGTCTGTACAAAAAAAAGCATCTTCGACCCGTTCCAAACCATTCGATATCAGCAGACTCCAGGTTTCAAGAAACGAATCCATGCAGTGTCTGTGAATCTGAATCAATTCCATCACGTGGCCAAACTCTGCCAGCCTTGAACTCGGCCATGGCATGGGCTTGCCCTGTAAGATCCACCGCTGCTGCCACTCGCTGGCCCTCAGCAACAGCTTTCGGTGGATCCGGGATGATCCGGGATGGGGCACATGAACTTTCTTCACCTCTTCCCCCAAAGAAGGGGAAAATGCAACAGAAAACAAAGATGTTCACCTTTCAATGCCTTTCAAATCACTGGGTCCCCGGGAGTTGAGATCACTGGGTGCAGGGCATTGGAGAATGCCAGGCGTGCCTAGGTCGTAGCTGTCTTCACACTGTGTGGAGCATCATCGCAGAGACAAGAGGAGTCACCCAGCCTCCGCCGTGTGAGCTTCCGCCGTGGCATGCCTGGAAAAATTGGTTGATAAAAACAAACATCCAAGGACACAACCAGGTGCAACTGCAGGTGCTTCATGTGCTAAGTTCACCACGGAATCTCTTCTTTGTTCCTGACCAGCTCTATGTTTCATGCACGGCGCGGAAATCAAGCACCAAAAAAAAGACGCGAAGCATAGTCATTCTTACCATTCGTTAAGAGCATCCAATTTTGGAGGAAAGTAGATTTGAGCCATATCCACTTGGGCTCAAGATTGTTCAAGTTCAATCATGGCATCTGCTGCTGAGCTTGGCCATCGACTACAAAATTTCTCCAAGCATCGGCGCTGATACCGAGGCGGCATGTCTCACGGCCACGAGACACAGAATTGATGCACCGATGTATCTTCCTGATCAGTGATCAGGGCACAGACTAGCACGGTTTCTACTGAATGAGATGTCAAACAGTCGACTGGGGGGATTGAGGCACGGCCAAACTGCTTGCGAACCAGCCAGCCGGGGGGAGGGGGGACTAGTTCAGTATGAAGTTTCATGCGACTGGAGATTCCAGCCCCCCAAGTACCTTGCTAAAGCAAGATGGACTTCAGCTAGCAGAAGCTAGCTTTCGTGAAAAACAGCGCAGTCTGGACATGTAGCGTTTGCACGTGCTTTCATGCTCAGTCCACAGGCAAAACTGGAGTCCAAACACCAGCGCCAAACATCCCACAGGCAAATGGACAACGATTTTGACAAAACCGCAACAGCAGCCACCCAGGCCACTATCTTAGGACCAGGTTGCTGCTATTCAAGAGCGGAGGCATTTTTCCTAAGCTTGCGCAAGTCAAAGTTGAAGTGAGCTTGAAAACAGCATCTTTGTGGAGCCAAGGTCTACCATGAACTGGTCAAATGTCAGCAAGATTAAGCAAGCGGCTTCTATGCAAGTCACGGAGTGTATTCCTTGGCTGGCATGAGTTCCAACAACCAGGAAACTGGTTCATAGCAAACAAGTCTTTAGACTTCCAAAAGCGGGACTCGACAAATGTCTTCAGTCCGCCAGCTAGGAGTCCGCTTTGTTCAGGATCGACTTCAAACGTTGCTCTGTCCTGAAAACAATGGTAGCGGTCCAAGTGCAGAAAAGAAGCTGAGAAGTTGCAGCCCAAAGCTGCCAATAGACTTGTGGAAGATGAAGTGAGTCCACCTCGTCATTTCCACTGCATTTTGAAGTTGTTCCGCTGTCCCAGAACTGATGCACAGCCACTATGATCAGCCAAGGAGCAGAAAACGAAATAACCTGAGCAAACGAAAGCAGAAATCAAAATGAGAAACACGGTTTTCCTTCCAGGAATCACGATCCAACTCCTGAACGGCAGCAGAAACGTCCATAATCAATACAGGTGATGAACCTACAGGACAAAATAAACCAATGAAATTGTGAAAAAATGAGGGAAAGCCACCAAAATCGGAGGCATGACCGCACGGCAATCAGCAGAAATGGGGACAAACATGGTTTTCTACTCATCAAGTGGCTATTCCACCGTCTTGCCCCAGGTTCACCCCACCGAGTGGCCGTCGAAGAGTTCGGCAGTGTACTATCAGCCGCAGACCATGGAGCCAACGGCTGCACAACCAACAGCCATGTATGACCATGTCAGCATGGGAACGGAGGGTTTCACCACGTTTAACCACCGAAAATGTGAGTATGTTTGTTTGAAACCAGCATGCGGGCCGCATGCTTACCATAGGAAGAACCTATAGTCTCTTTGATTTTGGCGATCTCTCTCTCTCTCTCTCTGAGTCTACTTCTATTAAGAAACTTCAATCTTTGGGACATCTGATGGAGGGGAGAGAGTGATTTTTCTTTGTTGGCATGGCACAATGTGGTAAACCCAGCGTCATACACCATCCCCAAGTCATCACCATTTTGATGGGTGGGATTCCAACCATTGGGCCCACCTTACCCCCCAATTTCCAGCGGATGATCAGCTTCCGACGCAGCCGACATCTCAGGCGGCCTGGTGACGCTGGTGGCCACCGGAGGCTCCGAAGGAACCGAAGGCACCTGGAGGAAGGAAACCCAATGGGATTTAATAGGAAGACAAGGGATTCAATGGAAACAAGATGGGATATATCCCCAGGAAATCAGTTCCATAGTTTGGCGTAAAATCCCCTTTTTAAGCTGGAATCTGAAGGCCTGTCTGGAATGGAGATCCTAGTGATGCTCTTATGAAGAGGGGGGGGAACGGAGAACCTTGATCACAAATCTCCCCCAAGTTCCAGCACCTGTTCCTCACTTTTCGGCAAGGCTTCAACCTCAGAAAATGCCTTCGCGCCTTCGCTGTGGAAAACTCAGCCTGCCACAAGTCTCAGCACCGGACTTTGCGTTGGAGCCAGGGAGGGCGCTGCTTGGGTGGCTTGGTCTTCTCTGAGTCAGGCCTGAGTGCTACTAAGAAACCCCTTGGCTGTTTAATGGTGGAGGGGTGTTGCATTTTCGTGGCCAATCGTTACTGCTTAGGGGTGAACGTATAGTTCCTGAACTATTCTGGGCAACCATGAACAAATTGTTCATTGGGGTTGGCATGGCTGTTGCCACTTGGAAAACACACTTCACTGGGGTCACTGCAAGCCTGTGCTGTTTTGCCGCACCATGAACTCCTCCGGTGTGGTGCCAGCATCAAGATATAAAATTGTGAGATGAAGCTTTACTTAAGTTGGAAATAGTTTCCATGCACCCAGAATAGGAACTTTCACCATGGATGGTGCAAGTCTAAGCAAAAGACCCGCAGCACGTTGGCCACTTCCAGCTGGTGTGATTTCTCTTCCTCTGCTTGTAGGCTCTTCTGCTCCTGCAGAAGTCGCTCTGCTCAAATCAGTTGGCGAATCACGAGGTGACATTTCCCTGAGTCTGTAGGTGAAAGGAAACTCTCCTCGTCATATCTTGCGAACAATGCCTAAACGCAAGGATGATACCGCAATAATTCTCAACAATTCTCAGTTTTGGGAAATTGATGAATCGTGAAGGTGGCAAAGCCGATAATAAAAATCGACCTGGGGAAGGTTGACAGTGTCCCCAACTTGCACCAACCTCTAATCTGTGGTTTTACGATGCTTTGCCACGATATGAACCAAGTGGTTTGCTTTGCAGGCCTGCCTTTGGTGACAAGCAAACCAACTGGTGTTGCTTCCAACATCTGCGCTGGCAGATCTCATCGCAGTATATAACACCTTTGCACCTGTGGTTGTGGCTAAGAAAAGGCAATGTGCACATTCGGGGCGACATGCATTCTTCGTCGTGACCTTGAATTTGTGCACTCTATATGGATGCAAGTTCTGACATGCCGAACCTCTGACAGACCCGCAGTGCCTTCACATTGCCACACCTAAGCAGCATGAACGTAAACATACCCAATTTGCAGGGGTTTTAACATCTGAATAATGACCTTTCCTCGGCCGTGCACGCCCCACATCCCACAGGAGACAGATCCGGAGCCTGAGAAATTACTGTTCTGCATCTGGGATGCTACGTGTTGGGGATCCACAACTGACCCGGCAAACACAACACACAAAAACAAATGAAATGCAAGAAAAATGATCTGAGCAAAGCACCGGGGTCATAGGCGGTCCCCTTTTTGACATTGGCATTAAGATCCGATTTTCCTGTACAAACATCTGACGGAGGTTCCAAATGTTCCAAATGCAGTTCCAAATACCAATGGCATACCCCACAGTCTCCTCTGCACAAGCACCATCAACAAATCGATTTTTCGACGGGAGATCTGCCACGATTTTGCGGAAATAAGCAAAACGAGTGCCGCGGCGAAAGTGCAAGCATACATCAGCAACAATTACCATTATACACCAGGGACACCAATGTTCCATATAACTAATCATCATGGCCCATGCTAACCAATTCAATTGGCAAACGCACCATGAAAGTTCTTTGCCGGCGGTCTCATGCGCGTCCCATCCGGGAACACAATCGTATCCTGGCAAGATTGCTGGATCTTAACGCGACAAATATTCCGTGTGCACGAACACCTTCCGAATCCATTTTTGTTCGCACTGTTCCTTCAACCTTGCTGGTGGACGCAAATGCGAGAACCAGTAAGAACCAGTGACTCATATGCTTTCCCAAAGTGCACCTTCGATAACGACCCGCATTGCATCCCAATGCTCCGCATTGCGCTGGTCATTTGGAAGGCCTACGTCCTTAGAACAAGACATCTCGCTAACATCATGCCGTTGCTGCGAGCCAAATGTTGGTAACACCCGAATTTCCCAAACAATGCTCCACAATTCCTTGCCAAAGCGTGGGACAGGAAATGTTTGAATGTTCACTGTCTGACCCGTGAATAACAACGGGCGTAGCAACCAACCAAGAAATTGTAACTGATTTTTTGTTTCGATATGTTTTACCCGCATTGTTTTTCGGTCCCCAGGACACGCCGATTTTTATCGCATATCTCTCGCGGGTGCTGGTTCAAGTAGAACATTGTGCCCGGAGGATTGAGTTCTTATCCCGCCATTGGTCTTGTCTAGAGAGGCCGGGAGGCCAACAATCAGTTTGGTTTTTGTTGTTGTCGTTGCTGTTGCTGCTGTTGGTGTTGCTGCTGTGGGTGTGGGGGTGGTTGTGGTTGTGGCTGTGGTTGTGGTTATTATTGTTGTTGGTGTTTTTGTTCTTGTTTTTGTGTTTGTTTTTGTTGTTTTTGTTCTTGTTTTTGTTGTTGTTTTTGTGTGTGTGTGTTATTGTTCTTGTTTTTGTTGTCACTGTTGTTTTTGCTTTTGTTCTTGTTCTTGTCGTCGTTGTTGGTACAAACAAAGACCTTGGGGCCCTGAAAACAAACTACCCGAACTTATCTTGGATGTTGTTGTGTTGTGGTTGTTGTTGTTGTTGTTGTTTTTCTTCTTTTTTCTCTTCTTCTTCTTCTTCTTCTTTTTCTTCTGCTTTTTGTTCTTCTTTTTGTTCTTCTTGTTGTTCTTCTTGTTGTTCTTGTTGTTCTTGTTGTGCTTGTTGTTCTTGGTGTTCTTGGTGTTCTTGGTGTTGTTCTTGTTCTTGTTCTTGTTCTTGTTGTTGTTCTTGTTCTTGTTCTTGTTCTTGATGTTGATGTTGATGTTGATGTTGGTGGTGGTGGTGGTTGTTGTTGTTGTTGCTGTTGCTGCGGTTGTTGTGGTTGTGGTTTACAAGTCCGCGAAGTATGTTAGCTGTGGCGGGGTTTTCATTGTGTTCATCAAAAAAGTACGGGTGGGTTCGGAACGCCTAAAACTTTACCTTAAAACGGCAAGTCGAGCACGCAATGCCCAAGTTTAAAAAAATACGTGGCATTTTTGCTTAGCGCTTTGATATTTTGATTGCAAACGTTAGCACAGCGCCCTTTACTGACAACCGCCCTTTTCTGTGGATGCAGCTTTCGTTCATTCTTTAATCTGAAGTTGAAAAAAACCAATCGCAAATCAAGTTTGGACCTGAACCGCCGAAGGCCGAATGCAATCATTGTTCCTGCTCTGCTGCCTGCGTTGTTTACACAGACTGGGGCTGGCTTGGCCAATTCCAAGGCAGTATAGTATGGGTTGCCAGCTGTTATTTTGCTCCAGCGTGGAGCGCCTCTCTTGGTAAATTTAATGTAATGTTTCCCTTTGGTCCCCTGAGATGCTGCTGTTCCATTCACAACGCTATGAGGAGAAACGGGAACAGGAAAACAAACAACCTGCTGCGGAGCAGCGTGTAGGACTGGCACTTTTTACTTAGCGTCTCATATTTTCCGACAGTCCCAGAGTCTTACGACCGGATTTCTAAATCTGTATATGGAAGAAAGGATGCTTGCCAATGTCTTTTAAAGTATTCCGGCAGACAGGTGCAGAGTCGCCTTTTCCTGTGCGCTGCAAAATGGGGAAAACTAGTGGTCGAATGTTTGCCCGAATTTCCTGATGGTAGGTTTTTGTT